TGGTCCGGATCCAGGTCCCTCCGGTATATCCAGGAGTAGGTCTGCAAATTAAAGTGCTCCCCCAGGGGGTAACAAAGATACTCCCATAGTGTAGTAGTTGGTAATAAAGCAAGGTTTATTGAAGACAAGGCATAAAAAACGTTGCAGACAGTTATTGATCAACAACTAACCGTCTGAGTAGTTAAGATGGCCGCCAGAGCTCCGCGTTGCTCTGACGGCGTGACTTCACGGCGTGTTATGGCTCCTCCTTACGCGTGTCGTGCTCCAGCACGTCTTCAGAGGGGGTTTGCCAAACACGCCATGCCGTTCGTCACACGTACTTATGCGGAAGTACGCACATGCGCAATAAGGTGTAGCCTGACTGGGGACGTGCAGAACGAACTGCGCAGGCGCGGATAGACGTGCGCCATTTTCCCTTGGTTTCCCCGGGTGAATAAACAATACAGACATAATGTCTGTGTATTTACTGCTAGAATGTACTAAAAATGTACAAAGCAAAGGATATAACAACAGTATTACGGAGCATGGTATGCTTATTATCATAGCGGTAATGTCCTTATCCTTCTTTTGCTCCGTAATACTGTTGTTATATCCCTTGCTTTGTACATTTTTAGTACATTCTAGCAGTAAATACACAGACATTATGTCTGTATTGTTTATTCACCCGGGGAGACCAAGGAAAAATGGCGCACGTCTATCCGCGCCTGCGCAGTTCGTTCTGCACGTCCCCAGTCAGGCTACACCTTATTGCGCATGTGCGTACTTCCGCATAAGTACAAGTGACGAACGGCATGGCGTGTTTGGCAACCCCCCTCTGAAGACGTGCTGGAGCACGACACGCGTAAGGAGGAGCCATAACACGCCGTGAAGTCACGCCGTCAGAGCAACGCGGAGCTCTGGCGGCCATCTTAACTACTCAGACGGTTAGTTGTTGATCAATAACTGTCTGCAACGATTTTATGCCTTGTCTTCAATAAACCTTGCTTTATTACCAACTACTACACTATGGGAGTATCTTTGTTACCCCCTGGGGGAGCACTTTAATTTGCAGACCTACTCCTGGATATACCGGAGGGACCTGGATCCGGACCATACCTCACACTAGGGGGATCCCTAAGGGGGAGTGGACCACCAGCCTTACATTCAGCTGAGGGAGGATCACCCATTACCGGATGACATCTGGACCATATATATACTAAGGCGCATGTTTTATGCGGGTCTGGCGAGTGCGCATTGCTTTATCACATACGTGCACGAATACCAGGATCAAGTCACCTGATCACCTGAGCACCCATTCTCTTACATCTTTTTGCAGGAGGACTTTTTGTATTATTTATGATTTTCGTTAAATGTTTAGCGCTGCACTCTGTATAAAAGGTGATAACTGCGGGGGATGATCTGGCGGAGGTGATTCAAGTACTGTTCTTAGGTGGAGGTGGGGTAGGCTTCCCTGAAGAAGTGAGCTTCCAAAGATCGCCTAAAGGCAGACAGGGTGGGGGCTGACCGGACTTGCTGTGGTAGGGAGTTCTAGAGGATGGGAGAGGCTCTGGGGAAGTCCTGGAGGCGAGCGTGGGAGGAGGTGATGAGGGAGCTAGAGAGGAAGATATCATGGGAGGAGCGGAGTGGGTGATTTGGGTGGTATCTGTGGATGAGGTTGGCGATGTAGCTAGGGGCAGTGTTGTGGTGGCTTTGTAAGCTGTGGTTAGTATTTTGAATTTTATATGTTGGGTTAATGGAAGCCAATGAAGGGATTGGCCGAGAGGGGTGGAGGACACTGAGTGGAGGCCAGTGGAGGGATTGGCAGAGAGGGGTGGAGGATACTGAGTGGAGGCCAGTGGAGGGATTGGCAGAGAGGGGCAGCAGTTGCTGATCAGTTGGTAAGGTGTATGAGTCTAGCAGCAGCATTCATAATAGACTGAACAGGGGATAGCCTGTGTAACAGTAGATCAGTGAGGAGGGAGTTGCAGTAATCAAGGCGGATATAACCAAGGCGTAGATAAGTTGTTTTGTGGCATCTATATACACACACACACACACACACACACACACACACACACTACATAAAGTATTCATACCCCTTGAAATTTTCCACATTCTGTCATGTTACAGCCAAAAACAAATGTATATTATTGGGATTTGATGTGATAGACCAACACAAAGTGGCACATAATTGTGAAGTGGAAGGAAAACAAATGGAAGGAAACCAAGGCGTAGATAAGTTGTTTTGTGGCATCTATATACCACACACACACACACACACACACACACACACACACACACACACACACACACACACTACATAAAGTATTCATACCCCTTGAAATTTTCCACATTTTGTCATGTTACAGCCAAAAACAAATGTATATTATTGGGATTTGATGTGATAGACCAACACAAAGTGGCACATAATTGTGAAGTGGAAGGAAAACAAATGGTTTTTTAACACTTTTTTACAAAAAAATCTGTGAAAAGTGCAGCATGCATTTGTATTCAGCCCCCCGAAGTCAATACTTTGTAGGACCACCTTTCACTGCAATTACAGCTGCAAGTCTTTTTGGGGATGTCTCTACCAGCTTTGCACATCTAGGGAGAGACATTTTTGGCCATTCAAGCTCTGTCAGATTCGGCTTACATGATAACAATTAGAAAAGTAGTGCTGGGCTTGCTCATTTGAAAGTCCAGCATGCATTAAAAAAAAAAAAAAAAACACATGTCAGTGGGGACCTTTGTTTTAACTGTTGATACTTAATCCCTTAATGCCAGTGCCTCCCAGACTTTTAAGGGGTTTCTGATACTGGAAGGAGGGGAGGGGTTTAAGATCCATTCACATGATCAAAAAGCTCCCGATTGGAAGTAGCGTTCGTGTGCTTTCCGCTAGGCGCCGGTAACTGTGCCGGGCACAGGTTTGATTACATTTTGGTACACATATATGCAGCCTTCTAGCGCCATGGCCCACCCGCCAAGAGGTCGCATACATGTGTACTCACAGGGAAGACGTTAACAGTATTTCTCAACCAAGGTACCATCTGAGTTCTCCTGGGGTGCCCGAACACAGGATTAAGTTTGCCCTGGATCAGTGTCATAAGTTGCCATGGTGCAGGCAGGCTGGTCGCCAGCACCATAACAACCAATGATGCTCTACAAATCCCCAGAGTCACAATACAATGGTTGGTGTTGCAAACTATAGTTAGGGGTCAATCGGGAAAAAATGACAGGCTGGTTGTACACAAGTTGAGCTACAAGTATACAACTAGCCTGCCCATACAAGGATCAAAATTTGGCTGTTCCCTGCTGAACCAGCCTTATTTCGATCCACGATGGCTGGCTTAAGTCTGCCGACACATGCTCAGAGGGAGCAGAAAGAATGATTATTCCATATCTCGGTTTATGTAATGAGCAAATATGGCTGTCCCATGTACATACACTCACTGGCCACTTTTATTAGGTACACCTTGCTAGTGCCAAGAAAATATCCCCTCGCCATTCCTCCATCACCACCACCAGCCTGAACCGTTGATACAAGGCAGGATGGATCCATGCTTTCATGTTATTTACGCCAAATTCTGACCCTACCATCTGAATGTCGCAGCAACCAGTCTGCCCATTCTCCTCTGACCTCTGACATCAACCAGGAATTTTCATCCACACAACTGCCACTCACTGGATATTTTCTCTTTTTCAGACCATTCTCTGTAAACCCTAGAGATGGTTGTGTGTGAAAATCCCAGATCAGCAGTTTTTTTTTTTTTTTTTTAGATACTCAGACCAGCTTGTCTGGAACCAACAACCATGCCATGTTCAGTCACCTAAATCCCCTTTCTTCCCCATTCTGATGCTTGGTTTGAACTTCAGCATGTCGTCTTCACCACATCTAGATGCCTAAATGCATTGAGTTATTGCAATGTGATTGGTTGATTAGCAATTTGTGTTACCAAGCAATTGAACAGGTGTACCTAATAAAGTGGTCGGGGAGTGTATATAATTACACAGAAACAAGTCTACAACCACATTAAAAAGGATAAGTTCACCTTTGGGAACATGTTTCACCCGCTTTTATGGCGTAACATTTTCCCATAGCAGCAGCAGCAGCTGCCCCCCCTCCCTTTGACAGATAGTATGGGGAAACCTCTCCCCATACTGTCAGATTTGAAAGCAGCATGGCTGTGCGGGGCTCCACCCACACGGCTGCGTAACTCATTCACAGAGTTCTGTGAATGAGAGCCTACAAATCACAGCAGTCTTAGCGGCTGTCAGCTAGTAGTTTTCAATGAACTACCACGGCACTGTGGGGCACCGGTAGTTCATTGAAGCTTCTTGTTAGAATATCTACTTGGCTGTACATCCCGCATGGCAAGCAGATATTCTGACAGGTCTGCAGGAGACCTGCATGGCATCAGCAATTTACTGATCGCGGGTGTAATGCTTTCCAGGTTCCTTTGGACAAATAATAAAAAATGTACATTTATTATTTTTTTTTTGGCCAAAAATGAACTTATCCTTTAAATTGATAAGATTATTTACAATAAGCTGAACTTATTGGGGATATTTACTAAAACTTGGGCACTCAAGAATCTGGTGCAGCTATACATGGTAGCCAATCAGCTTCCAAATTAATTAAGCTTTGACAATAAGACTTGGAAGCCGATTGGTTTCGATGCAGAACACCATGTACCATGCAGTTTTAGTAAATAACCCCCCCAGTGTGTGTATTAAAAGCACAGATCAGACTATAGTTTCCCTTTAAAGAAGGAGCAAAGAGCAGCTGTCTTGTCCATCCACCAGAAGCACTGCAGGGTATGATTAGGAGACATCAGAAGCCTTGCAGGGACCTGTGAGCTATATGTAGGATTCAGACTACGGATCTTGGCATGCTAAGATCTAATAGCCTGCTCACCCATAGTGACCCCAGATGTTCTGACAGGAGCCGGTTTATCTTGCAGTGAAATAACAGCTAAAGTTCAAAGCCGAGACAAGAGAAAAGAAAAGGAGCGCGCACTTACTTCCTCAACACCGCAATCTCGTTCTCGATGCTGGTTTCCTTCCCTTCTAGAGCTTTCTTTGGGATACATTTTATGGCTACCAGCTTCTGAGTTTTCTTCTCCTCCGCAAGGACCACTTCAGAAAAAGCCCCTCTGTAAATAAAAGAGAAGATGAAAACACATGACTATAGATAAAAATTAAAGCAAGACATCCACTTATACCACACGGGCATCTACAGTAGTAATACAAGAGTGCCAAAGCTACCATTTAATTATGGTCTGAACCACTGGAACTCTGGAAGGTTTACCCCCTTCATGTCCAAAGCATTTTTTGCTACTCAGCACTGCAATACTTTAAACTCGCAATTGTGTGGTCATGCAACGCTATACCTAAATGAAATTTATATAGATTTCTTTTCACACAACCTATAGTGGGACTGCGATAGTGTGGCAGGCAATCTGGTGCCAACAGCCCCGCACTGGGAGGTACACCATGCGCAATTTATGTGCTATCTGGTTAGTGCATTGTTTGTACATTCACAACAACACAAGAGTCACGGTTTTCTTGATCATGGACTGTTGGAACACCAAGTGCACTTAATCACTTTATTATAAGGACTGAGTTATCTAACATATTTAACATATGTTATTGTGCATTATTTAATTATTCATTTTTTCCATCACTTGATTATACATATATAAGCGCTGCATACTTATTTTATAGATCGCCGATATGTGTACAGAGCCCTGTGTGTGTTTGTGTGAAAAGAAAATTATATAAATTTAATTTAGGTACAAATAGAGATTTCTTTTGGTGGCATTTGATTCTCAATGGGTTTTAAATTTTTTTTTTAGTTAACCCCCTAAAAAAAGTTTAATTTCTGCATTCATTTAGGCCAAAAACTAGCTCTATTGGGCTAAACTAAAAGTACACACTTCCCCCTTCCTGGCGTTAGGCCCAGACTACTGCCGTTCAGCTGTTAAATGCCAGAATGTCAGTGGGCAGCAGAGGCTACAAACCTTTACAATGAAATTATGGGGTGGGGCTTCATCTTGACTTTGCCATGTGTCTTAGATCAAAATTAAATTTCTAGAATGGAGATAAGTATTGGAACAAAAGCTGTCCGTTTTATTATTTCTGCTTTTATTAGGCTTATATTTTTAAATTTTTTATTTTAACTTGCGTTCTACCTTAAGCAAGTCAATACTAGAGATCAAACAGCCAAAGTAAGAGTCATGCTGTATACCAGACGTCTGCTTCCAATTTTTCAGCATCACCTACTATCCTGATCTGCATTTGCAGCCTCCTGAAATCCTATGCAAACTTTCTAAAAGTTGGTATTTTCAGATGACTAAAGCATGCCCCTCCATATGACGAAGCTCACACCTGGGGACCGACCACAATTACTACATTGAGGAAGGCAGGAAGAAGTGTACACATGATCTCTATACCCAGAAGTACCGTTTTTTTTTTTGTTTTTGTTTTTTTAAGGACGATCTAATGAACCTGGACACTGTAAAACATAGGCTACAAAAGTACATATTCGTCCTTGGTATAGAGCTTTACCTTTCTTTAGCAGATTGATGTCTGACAGGTTTCCATTAAAAGTAGCCCTTCCTGAAAGTTTGGTCCGCTATAGCCTGCCCTTGACTATACAGCGTACTGTCTTTGAAGCATTGGTGAATTATGACGTCCTCAGGCTGGCAGTGACTGTAGGACAATCTTAGCATGGTTGAATGAAAACCTTTCCAGCTACGGCGACCTGTGACATACTGTAAATAGGGTTAATGATCCAAGAGAAGGGCTTGTCAGGGTTGTCCCCAAGGGCTTGTTCATATGAGTGATTCGGATGTGCAATCACATTGGAGCCAGAGATATGTCTTCTCAAGAGGGGATGTATTTACATGTTATTTCCATCACAATTACGAAACACAAAGGGTTTATTCCCTGTTTGAAGGCCAGGCTCCGCCAGAACTTTTTCCTGGTTTTGGATAGTGTGGAAAAGGGTTAGGACCTCCATTGAGTTATTACTGTCGGTCTTTCCTTTTGGGGAAATTTAACCTCAGTTCTTATTCCTGGGTCGCAAGAACAAGAAACAACTTTAAGGGAAAGAGGCTTATTAGATCATATAGGAACAAAAAGCTATACAAGCCTATTAAAAGGCTCTAACCCAGGGGTGTCCAAGGCCCACCAAAGATGGCTATGAATGTGGACGAACAAAAAAAATCATAGATTTTTTGGGGAAGTTTTTGTAAAGGTGCATTTACACTTGAACACATGCAGTTGAGGAAAACCTTGACAATGTCTCATTACTGGACTTTTATAAGGCTTATCTTCCCAAAGATAAACTCTTCATAATCACGCCTTTTTCAGGTCATCAGTTTTCGGCAGCACTTATATTTGTGAGCAACTATTATCAAGGATGAAGCACACAAAAGGGCATAACTAGAACCAAAATATCTGATGAGCACCTTGAAAATTCATTGAGAATTGCTACATCCATCCAACCAACCAGATATGTTTATCAAAAATAGGGTCAAATATCAGACTAGTTTTGTGTTGCCCACTTTTAGAATAAAAAAAAAAGTCATATGCTACGGTCAATGAATTCTTAATGACCTCAGAAGCATCTCAAACTGCTATCACTGACAATTATCTATATCAGGGATTGTTAACTTGTGATCTGGCCAACCTTTTCTGCTCATCAGCTATCCTTATTGTTCGTGTATTTTATGTGCGGCCCAAGACAATTCCTCTTCTTCCAACGTGGCCCAAGAAGGTCAAAAAGGTTGGACACCCCTATTCTAATCAGTCCCCAAGGAAGAATTCCAGGTTGTCTCTTTTCCCCATCTGGAGAGACATTCCCACCTGTTTTGGTTTCTTGGACCCCTTGTTGACTAAGACAAGTGAGGGAAATCTCCCTATAAAAAAAAAAAAAAAAAAAAAAAAAAAAAAAAAAAAAAGGACATGGACAACAGTAAAACTCAAAAGGTTCTAAATCTTCCCTATGCTATCCAAAACGTTTGTCTGGGGGTTTAGAGGCCTGTATCAATGGGCTTCATGTGGATTTTGCATTCCCGTACAAGAATGCAAAACCCATTAAAAGCATGGCTTCAGAAGGAGGTCAACAGCAGGTCATATGCTACGGTCAATGAATTCTAAATGACCTCAGAAGCATCTCAAACTGCTATCACTGACACAAATCCAAACATAGCTCCACAACGCTGTTATTCATAAATTTCCTCCACAGGTTGTTCTTTGCTAACCTATCTTTCCGCTGAGCATGGCTCTGGTCATTGAGCCCCGGAGACTCTTGAGCAGATTGGCTGAAACCAAGTTCTGAATCCCCTGGACCATTTCTGCCGAGAGGGCCCCAGAGGAGGCATCGGCTCGATAACCAGCCAGCGGGGGGCAGCGCATTCCTGATGTGTGCGTGTAAGCCTCATCTCTCCCTTGATGTCTCTACTGCAGTGCTCTCCTGGGCTTTCCCATCTCCCTGGCTGAGCAGCAGACATCTCTATAACAGGAGTAGGCAGCTCTGACTACTGATCCATATGCTCAGCAATAATAACATGCAGCTAATATTTATAGACAGCCAAGAGGAACCCTGTGCTAAGGAAAAGCAAAAGGTATACAATACGGAGAGATCCACAGAACATAAGCATAAGATGAAAGACCGATAAAAGTAGATGGTGCCATATTTTTTTTTGCTGGTCAAAGTCAACATATGGTCATTTCTAAAAAATGTTCACATGTACATGTAGTAGCGACCCTTGATGTAAATAACCTTATTAGTGTGTGATAATTTGTTTAAATAAAAAAAAAAAAAAAAAAAAAAAAAACCACCTTGTTCCTATGAATAATTAGCAATTGCCAATATGCATGGGGGCAGCCATGTTTGTTTATCACGCAAGCAGGTTATGCCTTCCAGAAATGCACAATGGTTGCGCTTTACTTCTTCTCAAGTAAGCTACAGACAAAAGGTTTTGGCTGCAGGAAAGGGGAAAAAAAATTAAAAAAAAAAAAAAATCGCTTGATTTCCCCATCAATACATTCAGCATTGATGGAGGAATCCCTCCCACAGCGTTGTGTTCTGCCAGTGGGGAAGCCTTCCTAGCCAGCAGAACAATACAAACTGCTGGAGGCTATAGCCGCCAGCAGTAATCGCATGCAAAAAATCTGATCTATTGATCGACTTCAATACAACCAGCCTACACAGAGATAGACTGAATCCCAGACGGTCGCTGTTGAACTGGCCATGATTCAATCAATATATCTATGGCCAGATTTACAACACAAGTCTATGAATTGGCTGACTCACTGAAAACAATGCACTCCCTGAGTGGCTGATATCTTAACAGCTGTTATGCCGTTACTTTATTAATTTACCTGGCTTCTTGTTGCTAGCCTACAATCTCCAAATTTAATTAAATCATTAAAAAAAGGAAGAGGAAGGTTGTAAAAATGTGAAAGTCACATGCTTGAATGCCCAACTCCAGGTTGATGAAATACCCCCTCCCCACACATTTATTGTATGAAATATATATATTTTTATTACTTTGCAGGTGTTTTTAGGCCAGTCATGTTAAGAAGGGGGTTCCCTTCGGCGCTTCCCTGGCACGGAGAGGTCCTCGGCAATCGCCAGTCTCTGCATCATTGCACTGAAGGCACGTTGCCGATATCCTTTCAAGGAGCTGATCTATGATGCCCTGCATACATCGATGTCCTCAGTCTTGCTGGTTGAAGGATGCCCAGCTTCTTTCAAGACTAAGGAGGTTTAGTGTCAAACAGAATTACTAGGAGGACAGCGCCAGAGCAGAGGTGAGCTTTTTTTTTTTTATTAACATCTTCACAACTGCTGGGGCACCAATTAAAGAAAATTAAAATGGCCATGAGTTGGGCTTTAAAGTGGTTGAAAACCTCCAAAGTGAAAAAAGGAACATATAATATTCTTCTACAGTGTGTACCTGCCACTCTCCAAAGCACTTCGTATGAATCCGGTTTTCTCTTTCCGCTATCTGCAGGAGTCACTTCTGACAGTCTATGCCACGTGTCACAAAACAGCCTGTGGGCTGAAACTGGCCTTCCAGGCCATTTCATGTGACCCTCACACCTCTCCTGCAGTTACGGCACCCCTCATCTCTGCCACCC